AAAGGTACACAAAAATACTTGAGTCCCACAGAGTTGTGGCATGTGAGTGTCACCCCCACCAGCAGGGGAGTTGTAACTCTCGCTACACCACCCCCCCCCCCAGTATACATCCATTGATATGAAGACAGCGTACTACGTGAACAGTTATTCATTTAATTCAGGGCTTGTGTGTGGGGTGGGGGTGGGAAGGGGGGAGGGTTGCTCGTTCAGCCAATCCAATGGCATTTCAGCTTGATTCTTGGTCGCAGCTACATGCAGGTATAGACCGTCTGGCTTAATAATAATAAATGGATTTTTGGGACTAAATGTTGATAGAGATCACCAATTCATTCCAAATTTTGACACTGACCATGTATTAATTGACTTAATAGTCTAGAAAAAAATGGTTTGCATCCAATCATAGATCAGCGATATTTTCTGTTTACTTTGTCAGTTACTGTGAAAGCTGAGCTAATCACGGTATTCATTATCCAATGAGCTCGAGCTGAAATAGGCATTAGCGAAATAAACACTTTTCCTTGTGAGTAACAACCAAGACGGTCACAATAGCTTAATATGCATTCTTTTATGCTGGCTGTTTCTTCGTGAGTGTTCCAGAGTAGTTTTTAGACTCTCTGCATTTTGTCTGAACAATTCCAGACTGGTTTGGCAGGCTTCATGCGCATTCTATTGCGACGCTTTTACAAGAAAGGACGATTAACGTTGTTGGTCTGTCTCTTCAGCGATGTCAATGGGGTTCTGATTTTAGTGGCGCCCCCCTCTATTCTATTGTTGTTGTTGTTGTGGTTGTTGTTGTTGTTGTTGTTGTTGTTGTCGCCGTTGTTGTTGATGTTGTTGTTGTTATTGTTCAACCTTTTCTTATTAATATACTGTAAAATTATTAGCTCTACAAGCTGTCTTTTCTTTTCCATTTTTGGGATTTCTCCAATGTGTCTCCTTCAGACATGCTAATATAGTGTAAAGCGCATAGAGCTTGCTGCTGAGCGGGGATATGCGCTATACAAATGCTATCTATTATTTTATTAATGTAAGTAACCCCCCTTCTGCTTCATCTAATGTGAGATGGTTGGTGAA